ATCGTGTTGTTGCTGTTGAAAATATTGAATTAATATTAGCACCAAGTGGTGCTGTTAAATTAACAAGAGGTCGAAAACCCATACGCATGTGTACGTATAAACCTGTTGATATATTCGCTTTGTCAAGTGTGCAAGAGCTTCACGCTTCACCTCGGTTGTTTGTCGCGCTTTTTCTCTTTCTCTTTTTCTTTCCCCTTTCTCCCTCTCTCTCTCTCTGCGTATTGAAAAGGTGTAGTGTACGAATTCGTTTTGCGTTATCGAAATATACCTTTGATAGCCAATAAGAAAAAAGTCTATGATGACAAGACCAATAGGACGAATAAAAAACGCCCAAAGAAAAAAGAAAGAAAAAAAAAAACGAAAGCAATAATGAATGGTTGGCGATATTACATACAGGTGAAAGTAAGAGAAGAGAGAAAGGCAATCAATTACTGTATACACAGCATCCTCAAAAAGTGTGAGCAAATACTGATTTTGTCTCCTTGATCCTTATTCCGTTAGAAAAAACCCTAACTTGAATCTATACACACACACACACACACATATATATCGATTTTTTGTCGTTTCTGTATTTGTTGTGTCATTGACACATAAATAGTCTATTCTCATTTCGCTGTCATTACTCATAAAGATAACAATCTATTCTAGCTAAAGCATTTCGTCGTTTTTTTTTTACATCATTGACGCTTGATTAAACTCGAGGATAAGGAATAAAATTGGAAAGCAAAGAGAAACATTTTATTACGCAAATGATATCAACTGTGAAATCCGTATTTATATTTCTAATTGTTTTTTTGCCACTAAAATATTGAACGATAAATGTAGTCAAGTATATAGACATTGCACTAAATGACGCTTTTGTGATAAGATGTGAACAAATTGAGAATTTTTGTTTGTTAGTGGTCAAGAGCAGCGATTAGAATTGATGACTGATTACCTTTCTTTCTTTTTTCTTCTTTTTTTTTTTTTTTTATTCTTCTTCAACTCTCTGTAGAAATAAGAGATCAAAGAAAGTTCACGTGCCATCTTAAAATATATTTTCAATCAAAGAACGTGTCTCGTAAGTCATTTTTGTGATTTTTGTTTTATTTTATTGAATATGATACCATAGAAAGTGTATAAGATGGGAACGGATCATTACTTGTTAGAAATAGTAAAAAAAAAACGAAGCACTGCATCAAACAAATATACACACCCGCCGGATGAAGTTGCCTGTAAATAGACATATACAATAAGACCAAATGAGGCTTTTTTTTTTCGTGTTCGATTCATTTGTCATGGTGCCTTTAAGGTGTTGTCTTGTAATAATCGCAAATCGACAGTACAGAGCTTTTTTTCTTGGAACCAATCATTGATGTGCATGAGAAAATTTTTAGCAAGGTGTGAAGAAATTGAATGATGATAACTAGTTGAGTATTTTAGTTTCAAGTGTTTTGAAAAGTTTTTAAGAGTATTTATTTGATAGGTTCCTTATGATAATTTTGACAAACAATATTAATGATTTTGTCTTTTGGTTCATTGATTTAGTAAATATTACGTATGTTTCATACATAAAGAAGTTAATCATGATATTCTTCTTTTTTTTGATTTAAATGAACTTGTTTCGAATTTTTATATACGTTTTATTATTCATAGAGAGATAAGTGAATAATGAAGAATATGATTAGCTATACATATTCTCGATGTTCTTATCTTAGTGAAGAATCGAATTCAATTTTCTTGTAGCATATTTGAATTAAAATATGAAATTTAGAATTGTATAATTGTATAGACGAGAAAACTATATAGGAACCTACGTGATTTGAAAGTTGCTGTTTAAAAAAAAAAATTGTTGGCATGCGAGAAAAGAAATATGGAAGTTCTCTAATAAATTTTCTGTCAAAAACTAAAATCTTAATAGTACAATGAATGACACAACTACAGAAAATTTATCGAAGGTCTTTGGTATTTGATGAAGTTTTCATTTTGTGAATATGAATCTTCTGAGATATATACTGATTATTGGTGAACATGGTTTTAGAATAGAATTTACTCAGTGATTGATTTTTATTTTTATCAATTTGAATTTATTATGTTTTGAAAATCTACAACGGTTTCTAACATAGGATTAAACGATACAGTTTGTGACCATTGAATTTTATGATATTATTATTTATTATGTATTAAGAAGAAGAAAAAAAATAATCAAATGGATAAAATAAAAAAAAAATGATGAAGTTTTTAAGGCTTCCATTTGATAACTTTCGTCGCAATTTGTGCATGTTTCGCTAAATTAGGTAATCGATGATTACTGTATTGTTCAATCTAAGAAACAAAAAAAAAAGTAATTAATATATCAAAACCAATTCATTTACTTGATCAACAGATTCAAGTAATTGTTGTCTTCCTTCGGGTGCTTCAGCTATACATGCAATAACCTAAATGAAAATAAAAATATCCTCATTGATCATATCAATAAAAATCATAATTTTACTTTAAGTGCATTCACAACTAATTCACTCGATTCATTTTTAAGCATAGTTAATAGTTTTGGTATCGCACCAGCTCTAATTGTACAATATTTTCCTGGTGTAATAATACAAATACTAGAAAAAAAAATATATAAAAAATAAAAATAAACAAAAAACACTTAAAATATGATTATATCAACATACATTGAGAGGGCAAGTGCTGTTTTACTTCTCAATCCATCATTATTTGAATCAAGTAAAGCAACTAATTGATCAACTGTACCAATTTCAACAGCACGTTCTTTACCTCTAAGTGAAACACTAAAATTAATAAAAATTAAATTAAATTAAATTAAATTTTTCTAATTAATTTTAACCTTAAATGAAATATTGTTAATGTTGCAAGTGTTTTTATTTTATCAGATGGATGTTCAAGTAATGATGTTAATGTTGACATAGCATCAGCTGCAAGTGCTTGTTCAACATCAACCATTAAACAAAAATGAATTGTATTTAATATTATTTCCTATTTATACAAAAAAAAACATAACAATAGAATGTTTATTTTTTTATTTTATAAATTAACATACTTTTATTTCATCAAGTTCACTAATTAATTTCTTAAGAAGTGTATCAACAAGACGAAGTTCAATAAGATTTTGTGCACCTAAAAAAGAAACAAAGAAAAATGCAAAAATTTTATTAATAGTTTTATGATATAAAGTTATATACCAGGTGGTGCTTCACTATACATAGATACAGCTTTATGAGCATTTCGTCTAACTGATGGTTCCTTATCATCAAATAGTTCAGCTAAACGTGGAATAACATTACAAGCAAGCATTGCTTGACGACCAATAGCATGACCTATTATTTCGATATTTAGTGAAAAACGAAGAATGTTTTTTTTTTCGAATGTTATTTACTTGCAAAGACATAATAACATTCAGCAGATTTTAAACGACAAAATTGATCCTTATCTTTGAGTAATTCAAGTAATGTACCTGGAATATCTTGAAATGAAGAAAACAACAATAATGAATTATTTTAGTTGAGAAAAAAAAAAAAAAAAAAAAAAAAATTTTCGAGAAATAACCTTCATTAAGACATGGCAATATATGTTCCGGATCATGAAGATAATCACACAATGATCGTACTGCACGTTGACGTAGTAAAAGATCATCACTTTTAAGTTCTCGATTCTAAAAATAATAGAATATTTAAGCAAGAATCTTGTGAGGCAAACTTTTTTCGGGTTCCGAATCTCGTTTGATTTCTAAAATGTGTACTGCGGGATGAGACAAACGAGATTTGGCACTGTTACATAAGACTTTAATTTAAGCTAAGATTTTGTTTACTATCTGTAGTAATCCATTAAATGGATTTAGAAAATGTTCTTTAAAGTAAAAATCATAGGTTTAAATGTCATAATATCTTCTGTGAAAAATTAACTGATTTTTTTTATTTCCTCTCTTCAGATATAAACATAATAAGGATGGTTGTCTTCTTTTGTATTGAAATTTTCAGTGTTCATATCTCAGAGTCGGAGATACAAAGATCAATTAAAATTTCGCAATACAATAATAATCATTGAGAGCTTTATTTGTTGAAAGTTTCAAGTCGAAACTCGAAATCTAGTAAAAAGTCGATATTTTAAGAATAAAGGCTCGTATAACTAAACTTCCTTAGGTATAGGTACTACACACCGTTATCTATCGTCTGAAAATATAGTCTCGCTCAGAAAGCGAACGGACATTCAGGGATGTTCCCTCATGAAACATCAATTGTTTTTCTGAGGTTTTGACAAACAACAAGAATTAATATCCAATATTTCATTGCACTTCCTTCTTACTAACTGTAATTATTACAACTTAAGAATTTTTCTCTTTTGATATTTATTAACATTATGCATCTAATTTTCATTGAGGCTTTCAATTGTAGGTAAAACATCTGTTGTATTTAACATAGTTGTTAAATATGCATCGAATTAGACAATATGAAAAAAATTATGTTCGTTTACTATTTTCAACTAATCTTTAAAACTCACGCATACAAACAGATCAATATCAATTCAGAGAATCTAATGTTTGACTTATTAGAAAAGTAAATTACATCTTTTCGATTGATAATAATTTATTAATTTTTAATAAACTACCTAACAACAGTATCTTTATATTTCTTTAAAAAAATGAGTCTAAAATGTCATAATCTTACTAAACGAGGAACAGCACGATTAAGAAATGCAAGTGGTGTTCGTGTTGGATCAACAAGTTGTGGATAATGTGTTGGTATCGTACTTGAAGCCATTTATTTTGAACTTTTGATTCTAAAACAAAAATGTATAAAATTTGTTACATTCCATTATAAACGTTTAATCTTGAAACGTTTCTAAGCAACATTGACAGCGGTGCCATCTAAACTATATTCTCTATTGGTTTAGATCTATCTACCAATCATAGAGAATGTCGACAATTTTTTGTACAGAATGATAAAACTTGTTATTTATTAATTAAGGAAATAATTTAAATAGATTTTAATACATTGTGTAAGATGGCTGCAACAAATTATGTTGTTACAGTTCAACGACCTACACAAGTAACAGCACTTGCAACAGGCTATTTTACATCATCAACTGAATTGAATTTAATTGTTGCTAAAAATACACATTTTGAAATATATATTATTGGTTCTGAAGGTCTTAAATTAGTCAAAGATGTTTGTCTTTATGGACGAATTAATGTACTCAAATGTTTTCGTTTAACTGTAAAATAAAAACAACAAATTAATAATAATTTTTTATTAATTTATTTTATTTTCTTTAAAATAGAATATGAACAAAGATGTTTTATTTATTTTTACGAATAAATATCATGGAATGATATTAGACTGTCAAAAAACAGATAATGATCAATATGAAATATTAACAAAATGTCATGGTTTATTAAAGGTAGATTTCAATGTGTTTTTTTTTTATAAAAAGATGATGAAAACGATATTTACATCGTATAGTTTTGTAACGTGATCAAACACGTGTCAATTGAGGACGTTTTTAAGTAATACAATATTATTCAAACTAATAATTTAAAAGATAGAAAAAACAAAACGTGATTATAGGAGCAATTCGCTTACAGATACATGAAACAAAACTTTTGAAGTTTGGATGATAGGTTATATGTAAAGAGTTTTACATGTATTTTTGATTTGGTGTAAAATGCTATACTTTACTCACAAGTCAGGATTCAAAACTAAAAAGTCTTCAATTCACTTATATATCGGTACATATAGAGCTACCAATTATGACGTTACGGATATTAAGTACATAAAATAAACAAATTCAATTATTTGAAAAGTTCATATGTATTTTAACCCTTTGGGTCCGGGCGACGCACATATGCGTCCTGGGATTTTACGCACTGAATACCTTTAAAAAACATGGTTGTTTTAGTTATTTAGTAGTAAAAATTGTATGAATATTTGTATTTAGGATACCTGTGCGGTTAAAGTTATCTATAATTACTGATAATTATGGGTTCTCCCTTAATAGTTCAGGTAATCAGCATATTATTTAATGAATTCGCAGATNAAAATTACACATCAATGATTACTTGAAGTAATGGTGACTCGATTTCTAATTTTTGTTCATTTTCTCTATATATTCCAATAGAATTTCTACCGATAACAATAGAACTAAATTCATTTTGTCCAACTAATAAAACAATAAAATAAAAATAATTAATAATAATAGTAAAAATTTTTGTAAATAAATCTACTTGGTGAAATATCAATTAGTCAATATATAATTTATTTAGATAATAGTGTTGCTTTTATTGGTTCAATTTTTGGTGATAGTCAACTTATTCGAGTAAGTGAAATTTTTTTTTAATGAAATTATTTAAAAAATTTTTTTTTATTTATTTATAATTTAGCTTCTTCCAGAGCCACAAAATGGTAGTCATTTAGAAATACTTGAATCCTATACAAATCTTGCACCTATTCTTGATATGTCTGTCATTGATCTTGAACGACAAGATCGACAAGTTAGATGAAAAATAATTCTATATTATAGTTTGAAAATAATTTTCATATTTTTTTTTTTGTGTATAGTTAGTAACATGCTCAGGAAATGCAAAAGATGCATCATTACGTTTTATTCGAACTGGTATTGGAATTCATGAACATGCATCAATTGATTTACGAAATATTAAAGGTTTATATTTCATTTCTTAGAAAATGAAGATTTTACTTTTATTTTATGATTATTATGAAATTTAATAAATTCACAGTAATCAATGACTCGAAGGTCTCATCATAAAATATTCATTTTCTAGAGTAAGATTGGATAACTAAAGGATAATCGAAAAGTTTCGATTTCTCTCATGAGAAAACGTGTTCAAATAATTAATTAATTTTTGAATTCGAACTCAATGCATAAGGTAGAGTCCAGTGAGATACAAAGATAAGTTCCCTTAGACATTTTACTAGAATTTTAGTTTCTAACATGAAATATATCAACAAATCGAATAATAGTATTTTCAACTGAGGTTTTACTCATAGACAGGTCTATATGTTAATAGAATGTCGGGAAAATATCAGGTCGAAATACTCTTATTCGATTTGTTGGAATAATTAGATTGACATTTTTATATAAATGTCAAAAATAAAATTTTCTGACGTATTGGCCTTGTTTTTTCGGACGATTGGTTTTAACCTTCTGGAAATGCTGTTGATCAATTTCACAAATTTTTCTACGTCAAAATTTCGTCATACATCAATAAATTTTCGTTTGACATCTTGATATTTACTTAAATCTTATCGCATGATATCTCACAAGTTTTATATTAGCTATTTATATCATATATTTGGTATTGAAATGAATATTGAGAAGTTTTTTAATAAAACTCTTGAAAAGATAAATCAAAGCGACTGATATATTAAAGAACAAATTAGAAACAAAATAAGACGATTATCAATATGAAAGTCTTATGAAGTGTTATAAAAATGCAACCATAATCAGAAAATAAGTTGAATATTATTTCATTTAAATGTAAATGTAAAGTGAAAATAAGTACTTAAACTTATTAGAATAAATACTACATTTAGGCTTTTTAAAGTATCTTTTTTATCAGATGATTACCTCTAATCTTTACATACTGTGATTAAATAACTATATATAAGCTTGTTATAGATACTAACAGATTTTTTCAAAAGGTTTAATATAGTAGTCGTATAGAATACTATTTTGATTGTAATCTATTAAATTCAAAATATGATACATTTTTTAATGACTTTGTTTTCTAGAGCGAAATTTACTCTACAACGCATGCTATACAGATCGAATTTAGAACTTTTTAACAAAATTTACTATTTAACCAGTTGTCTTCTAGTGACTGAAACAATGAACGAATACTTTATGTCAAGACTTCCATGCCATAGATTATTTATTTTATTTTAAAAATTGATGACTTTGCTAATATATTTAAAAGTCTTGATCTTGGAAAGAAAATTAATTCGACTAATTTCGTTTTTCTAGGAATTTGGGCATTAAAAATTAATAATCAATATGATAATCATCTTGTTGTTGCATTCTTTGATCAAACAAGGTAAGCTTTTTTTTTGTCTTTTACTTATTTTTCTATTACTACTATTATTATTAGATTATTTCATTTACAAAATGATGAAATCGAAGAAATTGAATTACCAGCATTTGATTTTCAACATCAAACATTATTTTGTACGAATGTTACATCTAATCAATATATACAAGTGAAATTTTTATTGCATAGGAAAACAATAAATTTTTTTTATTCGATTAGATAACAACCTATTCAATACGTTTAATTGGTAATAATGGTCAAGATTTACTTACTGAATGGAAAAATGAAAATAACGAAATAACAGTTGCTTCATCAAATCAAACACAATGTGTATGTGCTATTGGAAATGAATTATTCTATTTTGAAATTGGTCCAGCAACTTTAAAAGAAATTAAGTAAATTAAATTATTAAAGACAAAAATTGATTTTCAATTGATCTTTTTCTTTGTTTTTTTCAGTAAATGTCAATTACCATATAATATTGCTTGTTTGGATATAACACCATTAAATTCTCGAGATGAGCGAACTAATCTTTGTGTTATTGGTCTTTGGACACAAATATCTGTTTGGATATGTCGATTACCAACACTCGATATTCTACATCAAGAATCATTAACATCAGGTAAATTAAGAGTAAGATTGTGCCTGCGACCGGTAGAATTGAGATATTTTGAGAATCAGTTAGCAAAAAAACCAAACAATAAAACGCTTGAGAAAAAACGAAAAATTTTTAACATCGAGAGGATTACTTCTTTTCGTACTCGAAATATTTCTGATAAAGAATTTTTTTGTTTAACTTTGAACAATTTAATAAGATATAAAAAATTTTCAACATCGTCATTATATTGTTTTACATTTAGACACATTACCACGATCAGTTGCAATGATAACATTTGATGGTCAACCATATGTTTTTGTTTCATTAGCTGATGGTCCTATTGTTTATTATTTACTTGATATTGAACATGGTTTATTATATGAACGAAAAAAAGTTCCATTAGGTACAAAACCTACAACATTAACTATATGTCATCATACAGATTTATCTTCAACATCAAATAATTCACGTACTGTTTTATTTGCTTGTAGTGATCATCCATCAGTAATATCATCAACAAATAATAAACTTATTTTTTCATCTGTTAATTTACGTGAAATTGTTTGTATGTGTTCATTTAATTCAGAATATTATGGATCAAGTTTAACATTAGTTACTGATATGGGTCTTATACTTGGTCGTATTGATGATATACAAAAGTTACATGTACGTTCAGTAGTATTAGGTGAATCAGTAAAACGTATTGCTTATATAGATGAAGAAAAAGTTTATATTATTTTAACAGAATATATGAATTTATATCAAACAGATACTACTATACCTATTAGTAAACAAGCATATCAAAAAATAGATTGTACGACAAAGATAGATAAAATGAAAGAATTTACAGAAGAACAACAACAAGATGATATTTCTAATTCAATTGTTGTTCTTGATCAACATACACATGAAGGTAAAGATATATTGTCTGATTGAAATAATAAGAAATTAAAATTAAAAGATATTTGATATTGTAATTATATTTTCTTGTATCGGAAAGATTCAATAAGAGCATTTAGTCTGATGACACTTTAGAATGTTAAGATAAAAAGAAACTTATTGAATGATGAAAAATAGTCTAGAATAAGTTCTTAGACACATGCTACTTGAAATAGACAAATCACTTGGATATCTTGTTTTCTTAGTTCGAAAAATTTCAGTTTTTGATCAAGTCGTGTAAATATGATTATATTCAATGGAATATGTTTTCTACTGAATGATACAAAACGATATATTGACTGACCCCAGTCATGATTAATAATAGATTGTGATTACATTTAGAAAAATCGACCTAGTGTAACTAGTAAGATATTTTAAATTCAGACATTCGATTCTTCTAAGAAGAAATATCAATCAAAGAAAAGTTATTTTTTCTAATTTGTTGTTCTCGCTAAATGTTTGAAACTTTCAAGAGAAAGATTAATCTCTTTTTTCGAGTATTCTAATTTCAATATAGAATCAAATTCTTATAGTTAAACAATTTTTTCGATTATTTTTAGCACATGCATCTGTTAAACTATTAAATAATGAAGAAGCAATTAGTTTATGTGTACTAACATTTGCTGATGATCCTTCAATACCATATATTGCTGTTGGTACAACAATTGTATTTAATGATGAAGATGTACCAAAATGTGGTCGAATAATTTTATTTCGTTATAAAAATGGTCATATGAATATGATTGCAGAAAACGAATTGAATGATATACCATATAGAATGTTACCATTTCAAGGCAAATTACTTGTTTCAATTGGTAGTTCAGTAAGAAAATGAATTTAATAAATTTTGTTTTGATTAAATTACATGAATATTTAGATTCGATTATATAAATTGTCATTGGAAAATCATGAATTAATACAATTATCGAAAATATCCACAGATTTCGTTGAATGTTTAGAATTAAAAGTTAAAGATGATTTTATTTTAACTGGTGATTTAATGAGATCATTAACAATTTTTCGCTATAATGTTGATGAAAACAAATTTGAAAATGTAAAAAAAATTCCTAATAGAATTTGTTTTTTCTTTTTTATGATATAAATTTTCTAATTATGTTTTTAGATTGCACATGATCCTCATCCACAATGGACAAAAGCATGCGAATTTATTGATGATGATACATTTATATGTGCAGAAGATGGTGGAAATTTAATTTCATGTCATAAAAATAGTGGTTCAACAAAAGAACAAGAAAGAAACATATTAAATGAACTTGGATTATATCATCTAGGAGAAGAAATTAATTTATTTCGCCGTGGTAAATATAGTTTGTTATTATTATTAATTCACGAACCTATTGTGAAATTTACATATATTTTCAAAAAAAAAAAAACAATAGCGAATGGAAGTTTAGCGACTTTGATCTTTTTTTTCTTCATTACAGATCTTAGCAACCGAAGACAAAATAGACATTAGACTTTTTTCTTAGAGTTTTTTAGCGACGAGAATAGACGCTGAACGGCATTAACGACAATACTTCGATTGCTCTTGAACATTTCAAAGCTGTCGTTGAAGTGTGAATAACTGATATACACTTGTAGATATTCTTAATAGTACAATATGTGATTTTTGTGCAGATACGAATTTAAACAGTCAAGGATGATGAGTAGTGATGGATTGATTTGTGATGGTCATCATATATTCAACATAAAAAGCGTGAAGTGATCAAGTTGTAATCTCATGAAATAATCAATATGACTATTTATGAGTTTATCAAGATATATAATAGTGCATTAAGATCTGCTACAAAATGTAATGGATATGTATAACAGTTAAATCAATGGTTAGAATAATAATCATAATGTTAAATTAAGAAAAATGACGAGAGAATAGTAACGAGGCAAACCAAAAGCAAAAAACAAAACGAAATTCTATTCGAAATGTAGAAATACATGACAGATCATTCTCCTTGCAATTGACTATCATTGGAAAACAACTCTAGTCTGCTAGAGATTCTTTGAGTTACATATTTTGTATTAATATAATGAAGCTAAAGAAGACATGTAATTTTCGCACTTCAACTTAAAAAAGTCTATGCTAGCAAGTTGTTCTTTGAAATAGATAATTTATTAGTGCAAGAGTATTTTCTTGAACAATATCAATGAGTACAAGTTTTGTTTACATTCTCTTCATTCAATCTCTAACAGAAACGTTGATTGAAAGAATTTAATTAAATTGATTGGATGAAATATAGATTGTAATAAATGATCTCTTGACAATTGCAGTTATCCCCAGTAGATTTTATTTTGTCTTATTACGTATATTTAGAATAAAATGTGCAGTGTCACCTATTTATCGTACTCTATAATCTGATTAAGAAAAATTTTCTAATCCCGTATCGTACTTCTATTCTGAAGGCCTAGAGTAAAATATACATCTCTAATATAGAATAAAAGACTTTACACATAATTCATATTTTTTAAATTTTCCTAAATAATTTTTCTGTAATTTAATCAAAATACAAAAAAAAAAAAAGATATTTTCATTTAATAATTATCGTCATTTTAAAATCTATTGCATATTTATAATAGGTTGTCTAGTCCCACAACAAACAGCTGAATCGACAATAACACTTGAAACATGTATTTTAATGGGTGCTGTATCTGGTTATATTGGTCTTGTTCTTCAATTACCACCAGCATTATTTAAATTACTTATGTCATTACAATTAAAATTAGCTGAATATGTTCCAAGTGTTGGTAAAATTGATCATAGTACATGGCGTTCATTTGATTCTGATGGACGTTCAAATATTTCATCTGGCTTTGTTGATGGTGATCTTATTGAAACATATCTTGATTTACCAAAAACTGTTCAACAGGAGCTTATTAAAGATTTACATGTATGTTTTTGTTTTATTTAATTTGAAACTGTTTGTTTATTCTAATTTATTTAATTAATTTAGGGAGAAGATAACGTTGAATTGAATACAACTGTTGAAGAACTAGTCAAAACAATTGAAGAACTTTCACGAATACATTGAACAGAATTTAAATTATAATGATTTCTTCTTTTTTCTTTTCATACCGAATTCTTTTGCTTCTTTTTGTTTGTAACCCTTGATTTGATTGAAAAAGCCATTATAAAAGGATCTCTTTTTTTTTGTTTGTTTATTTAAAATAATTTATCTATCACAAAGTTAGTCAACATATCATTTGGTTTTTCGATTACTATGCCGATATAATGACAATGATCGAATTGAACTTCAGCTCTGATATTATTTCAATGAAATTTCATACAGAAATAGAACGAAACATTTTCTTAATGATAGTCATCCATGAAAGTCATGGTTGGTAATAAACATGATAGAACTATTAGTGTGTATAGATCAACATTGAAGATATGTAAAATTATTATAGGCATTTTTTTTCTCTTTTCGATTACGATCAACTAGGTCCTATTTCTAATTTTGTACATATGTATATGTATGTACATTCGACCAACCAAAGTCATCTATCTGTGAAATGAGCAATATATGCAAAAAAAAAATGGGACGGTTCATTGAGTTATTGGTTATTAGTTTGTTTCGTTCGTTTTGATTGCAAACTCTTACCTCATCAGTACATCTCGATTCATTTGTATACTTACATACATCAGTGTGAATTGTACTGATAAATATGATGATGAAAAATGGTGGAAGTTATTATCCGTCACCTTATAAAACGACACCTTTCAATGGAATGCTCAATAATTTTGGTGTAGGATCACATGGTGTTCCATCGTTTTATAACTTGCAACTTCAACAAGGTCCACAACAACAGCAACAACAACAACAACAACAACAAAAAACTAAAAAGCATTTAATACATGAACAAAGTCATGATACAGCTCCAAATATTCTTTCATTTAAATTATATGATTTGGATACAACTGATAATAATGAAATAATTCGACTTATATTTTCATTTGCTGATGTTTCATATAAAAATAAACGTTTAAGACAAGATGAATGGATTAAAATAAAAGAACATATGTCATTTGAACATTTGCCTATTTTACGTATAAATCATGACTTTAAAATTTTTCAATTACATGCTATTATACGTTATTTAGCAAGAGAATTTCATTTATATGGTACAGGTCAACATGATCATGCTATTGTTGATATTGTTTATGAAACAATTCGTGAATTTCAAGAAAAAATTTCTCAACAAAATAATAATTCATCAATTAATCATGAACAAACATTACATCAATTAATAATAGATATTTCAACAATATATTTAAAACAATTAGAAAATTTTTATGAAATATTTAATCGTCATGGTCCATTTTATTTAGGTTCACATATATCATTAGCTGATTTAATTGTCTATGATACAATAAATTATTTAATTAAAATTGATACAAAATTACTTGATAATTTTTCTCATTTAAAAGAAGCATATCAACGTTTAGAAAAACATCCAAGGTTATTAAATTATTTGAATACAAAAAATAATAATAATGAAATTAAAAAACATCATAAATCTCCACATTCACATCGTCATACAACAAAATCACCTGTACCAAATGCACCGCCTCATCAGCATCGACATCGATCACATGAAGGACATGAATTAGGTCACCGTCATTATCATCATCGTCATCATCATCATCATCACCATCATCGACATAATTCGAAAGAACCAACACCACTTTTACAAACGAAACAACGATCAATAATATCATCAAAATCACCTACGATTTCAAGAAAAGATATAGAACAGCCACCATTAGTTCCAAAAAAGAAACAACCATCAGTAAGATCATCACAATCACCTAGTGTTTCAACGAAAGATATTGAACCAGCACCACCACCAGCTCCACAAACCAAAAAACGATCAATAAGATCATCAAAATCTCCTAGTAGTTCAAGAAAAGATAAAGAACCAACACCATTACGAGCAACTGACGTTATACCACCACCGCCACCACCACCAACAATACCGCAACCACCACCGCCCCCCATCAATTATCACTGAACATAAAAATTAATCTAGAGATATAATGGATTCTTTATATAAAAGATTTTTTTCTTTAGCCGAACAAATAAAAGAGGAGAAAAAAAAGTCTGTTTGTTCTTTTTTTTTTATCGGTAACCTCGTCCATGACAGTCATCACATATTTCAGTACTTGTTTGACGAGCATAGCCATTGCACGAACAATGCCTTGTATAATTCGACCAAGTTGTTCGATCTTGACACCAACATGAAGTACATTCATGTTCAATATAAAGTCGTCCATGACCTAAACATTTCCAACAACGCACTCTTGATGCACCTTTTTCTGTACCACCATATGCATCCTCTATAAAAGCACTTAATGCTCCAAGTCGTGGCGGTTGACTATATTCGGCACCCATACGAACTGAAAAATTCAGTTCGAAAAAAAGTTGTTTATATACAAATATTTGGTTTTTTTCCGCACGTGTGCTAATAGTAGGGATCCTATAATTGTTCTTCGTTGAAATAATAGAAAAAAACAAAGATACTTGATATAACAGACGTGCCGATAGTTTGATTTTTTTCAAGGATAACTATTCTATTCAAGATAACAGTAAACTTTCGATTAGACTATGCCAAATGTTAATATATTTTATTTTTTATTTATGCAAAAATAACTAGATAGGATTACAATATTCTATTTATTAATTTATATTTTGAATGTATTCTAAGGAGCATAATTTTACATATGAAATATTTTGAAAATATGTATCATCAAATTCAAAATATTTTTTTTTGTCTATATTGATAATATCCACCGTTAAATTCAATAATGTCCATTAATGATAAAATTTATTCAAAAAGTTGTCTTTTGCGTGATATACATACAAAAACAAATTTCAGTATTAATAATTTGTACGTATGAATATACAATTATTTCGAAGAGAGAAAAAAGGATTCATGTGTATAAGATAAAATCAAATCATGGAGAAAAAAAAAAGGGTTCAACAAAAAGTTTAAAACATAATAATGAGATATTATTTAACGATATATTTATATCTCAAAAATATAGATTAAAACAATGAAAAGAAGAAAAAAATCGAAACAATTAAAAAAGAAAATAAATTTAAAATTCTTTTTCTGTTTTTTCAATTGCAATATCATAATGTCCATCATTTTCTTGATTATAAGCTAATGTTAATACATATAAAGACTTTGTTGATATTAATGGTGCATCTTGTGGACATACATCAATTACTGGACATTGACTAAGATTTGTTATTATTTTAATATTTATTCCAATTAAATTACTTATTGTTAATGGTAATATATCACCTAAAATTGATGAATAAAATTTATCCGAACGAAATTTTCGTATTTCATTATAATAATTAACATCATTAATATATGGTTTATATTTTGTATGATTTATTTTCCATTCTAAACAAACTAATTTACGTAATGTACGTGCTAATTGTGTAATATTCGTAAATAAATTCTCAGGAAGATTTAAACGTTTTTTAATGGCTATACGAAAACAACGATCTTGATTATATAATGTCATTAACTGACTAGCAATAGCAGTAAAAAAACAATTTCCATCACCATCAACTAATTGTCGTCGATAACCATAACGTAAAAGATTTAAATCTAATTGTTCTTCAGCACTTAATGGTGTTAGAGATCTTTTTATTGGAGATTTTATTCTTTCTTTTTGTATTAATTCATTTGAATAGGATTTTATTTCATTTGTTTGTTGATTTATTGTTTTTATTGGAAGTATATATTTAGTTTGATATGGTTGAGTATATGTATATGATAATATAGGTGTTTGTAAGTAAATAATCGATGGTTGAGATGGTATGAAATTTAATAAAATATTATTATTATTATTATTACTAGTTTTACTATAATTATTATTATTAGTTGGTTGAATATAAAAATTTTCAATTGTATAAAGCATTTGGTCTTATTTTATGTTTTTTTTATGGGTGGTATATAAGGTTGAACAAAAAAAAAAAAGAAGAGAGTATGAAGAGTAAGTGTCACGGTCGAATGAATTGGTATTCAAAATGAAAATCGTATGACATACATAGAACAAGGTCTTTTTAATCATTGTTGAAGTACACTGACTGATTATATATATATATTTCTTTAGTCATGTGCAATGCTTTATGGTGATTTTAATAGATATATTGAAAATACAAAAAAAAGATATTAATCGAAATAAAATATGATTGACTTAATGTCAAAAAACATTGTCATTTTGTTATTGTAAGAGTTACGTTTGTTTTCTATTTGTACGACATGTTTATCAGTATTCGAAAAATAGAATTAACATGTTTAGATATATTTTACATTTTTGATTTGTTCTTCGAGAATGACTATTATGAATAGCATGTACATTATAAAGAATTTAAAGAATGACAATCGAGGTAATTCTTTAGCTGTATGTTTTCGATTCATCGTATACATATAAGAAGAACGATGTTTTATAGTTTCATGTTCACTTTATCGACTGTTCGTGATCTGTTGTATTGATTTTATCGTTCGATCTTCTGCGCGATAACAACGATGGTTAGTCTTGTAATTTCTATTGATATTTATATATTCTTTTTCATTTTTTTTTTTAATAGTTTTCGCTTAGGTTTGCGTTCCTTTTACTTATTGTCTTACATGCTAATGGTCGAACTATTGGTATAAATAATTATTACGAAAAACTCTGTATCATTTTATTTCGAATCTTTTAGATACGTTAAATTCAACTAATCTAGAAAACAATGATTCTGTTGACAAACTTCCTGTTGTTGAAAAAGGACAAAATGAAGAATTAATATTATCAACTGACGCGTATGTTAATATAATCTTTTTTATCTATACTTATTATTCATTCTTTTTAGTGAAAAATCTAAATTAATTCAAGATCAATCATCAGATATTCAACCATGTTCGTATTTATATTTTATTTTTCATTCATTTTATTTTATTAAAACTTCGTTTTACTTTTAGTACGATCACCATGTATTGGTACTTATCCATCAAAAAAATTTTCATATTCAAAGGATAAAACAAAATATATTCAGTGTCGTGATGAATTTCATTATGAAATTTTATCATGTTTAAATGGTGGTGAATATAATGAAGAAACAAATTCTTGTGATCTTATTATTACAATGATTAATAAGTGTGAAGAAGAAAAACCATGTTTAAATGGTGGTCATTGTATACCATTATTAAATTCAACATTTAAATGTATTTGTCATCCAGATTGGACTGGTGATAGATGTGAAATACCAATAAATTCATGTGTTAAAAAACCTTGTGGACCAAATGCTCTATGTCGTAAATTAATAACAATTGATTATGAACAAGATTATGTTTGTATTTGTCATCAATCTGAAAGTTATGGTCTTAATTGTCAAGAAGGTATATTAATTAGGTTTATATTAATTATTTTTTGCAAAATATTTTTTTATTTTATTTTAGTTGTACCTAATCCATGTTTAACAAGTAATGAACAATTTTTTCCATATACATTTAGTCAACGTGCATATATTCAATGTGATGGTGACATTATTCATTTTCAACCATGTAGTTCATTACTTTTTTGGAATCAAGAAGAAAAAATTTGTGATCGTAAACGATCAACAAAAGTTATTGTACCTAAATTAAAAAAAAAGAAAATATCAAAATCTAAGCATTATAAACAAGAAAAGAAAATTATAGAAAATATTAATCAAGAAATAATTACAACAACAATACAAACTGAACAAAAAAAGTAAGAATAAGAAGAAAATGAAATATCTTCGAATCGATTCAATCGAATGGGCTCAGTTTTTGGTTAATAGTAGAAGTAAAAAGAAAGAAGTTGATTGCAAAGATTTTAACCACTGGAATAGAAGAGCGAAGTTACTGAAGAACGGCAAATTGGTAAATTTGATTTTTTTTTCGTCAGGAACTAGCTGTGGGAGGAAAATAGGGAACTGCAAAGTGGTCCCGGGACCGGGACCGGGACTAAAAATTTTTCATACTGGTCCCGGTCAGTCTTTTATGCAATGTGTCGCCATTTATCTTATTTTTTTGACAATAGTAATGGCGATTCAGTATAAATAATCAATTCGATAATAAATCCATTAGATAGAACAGTAGATATA